CTGCTACCCATGTAATTTGACCTTGAAATTCTTCATCCAGACCCCAGTAGCAGATGGCTTAAGAGCAGCCTGATGATAAGCATATGTAGTGTTTAAAGGTGGGATGTGCAGAAAATACATTCTCAGGGGTGATTGTGATTGTGCTTTTTCATCTTGTTCATTTGTAATAACAACATTGTTTCCTTGTGCTGTCTTTCATTTTCTGTAAGTAAGGTTGTTCTTGTTCTTCCATTTTATTCTTTCAAAAATGTGGAATAAGCTTTTGGTTTTCTCTGCTGAGTGACTTTACTAAATGAAGTGTTTGGAGTTTCTAATACTCTTCCCTGTTTCCTTACACAGGTACCGAAGTGAGAAGGTGACAATCAGTTATGCAGAATATATTGCTTCTCGACAACACTGTTTCCAGAATGGCACTCTTCATGCCCCGCCCCTCTACAATCATTACTCCTGACACACGGCTGCATGACCAGTCTCACCCCCCTGTGGCCACCAATGGCTATGACATCATTGGAGCAGATGCCTCCTCTTCCTGGTCCAGTTACTTCTATTACTGCACCATTTTATGATGCTAGCTTCCGTTGCCAAGTCTGCCTCCAGCTGACTTGAGGGGTGGGGGGGCACGGGGTTATACTGAATGAAACAGAACTTGAGGTGCCCAAGCCTTATCTCAGCCTTTCCTCGTCATGGGGTTCCGTTGGATTGGGGCTCCTCCATGACTGGTGAGAATTACTGTGTGAGTGCAGAAGACCTTTGGCATGCAGGTGTCACTGGTGATTTGCTGCCTGTGTGTTGGCCACACAGTGGAAGCTGGAATTGATGATTCCTGAAGGCTTACCCCACATACACCTCTGCAGCCTCCCCAGATCAAGTAGGTGTATTCCCCTGGCAGTCTGGGCAACGGAGACCAACAAGAAACATTTTTAGGTTGTTTTAAATTCCTTTTTTTAAACTTCCAGTTTATTGCATACCAAGAATTGATTACAACCTCCATGTTTCATAAGTGGACGCCATGTCAGGGGTGAACATGGGCACCGTGAGTCCTCTGAGGCTCCTGGACAGAGACCCACATCAAGACCGAAAGCCCTTTGGATGGCGTTGCAGATCTCATTGCTCAATTAGCTTTGACGGTTTTAATTCTCATTTCACTGTCAGTTGGATTTTTTGGCACTCTTCTTACATTGAGTCTCCTGGTATTGAACAGAGCTCTGTGGTGTAACCTGCTGAGGAATGAACTGGGATGTCCACAGGAGGTCCTGATGCCATCACTGCATGCAGTGTGAAAGGAGAGACCTCTTCCTTACCACCCGGCTACCTCACTCCTCTACTGGTAGCAGTGCCTATAGCTGGATCTAGGATCTCAGAAGACAGATGTTCGTGCAAGCACCTGGGCTGGGCTTTAAAAAGACATTGCCATAGAGAATTCAGGGTCTTCAAGCTGTTTTTCTTTTCAGGCATACATCCTAAGGGACCTTTAAGCAGAGGAGTTCCCTTTTTCTAGTTTGCCTATAAAGTGGGAAAACAGTTGATGATTCAGTCCTTTACAGGACTTTAGAACAAAGCGGTGTAAGTAATCAAGGTGAATCTTTATCTTGCCTAATATGCTGGGACTCTTCACCCCGCCAGGGCAAAGTTCCAAATAGCTCATGTTATTCTAGGTCATTCAGACTTTCATGTGGCATATTTCCCCTTCTCATGGTCGCTGACTCCAAACAGCTGTCAGCAAGTGTCTCCTCCCTCTTGCCTTTTCTTCACTCATTTGGTGGCAAAGTTCATAACAGTTGGGGACTTGGAAGATGCTTTGGAAACACTGTCACAGACGCACTGCTGAAAGTATTAACAGGAAGAGGTGGCCAGTTGGAAGAAAAGATCCTAAGGGTGATATACTGGTTTTCAACAACATGCTTAGAGAACTCAAAGTGGATTGGGTGTCAATCTGGTGAATGCAATGTTTTGATTTAATTTATTTTTAAAAGTTTATGTGGTGATAGTGTGGCTTTCTAGAGTGGGCAAATATTCAAGTCAAAAGATCTTTTGAGTTTTCTGCCAAGAATGGAGGGTGAAGCAGAGACACAGTCTAAGAAATGGCACATGTGCTGTTATAGGCACTGCTGTCTTGTTTCTTGGACGAGATGTCTAAGGGTGAGCAGATTTGCATGGCACCATCCTCTGTTCATGAGGATGTGGAATGTGGAAGGGAAATACGGGGCTGACATTCGGATGCCCAGGCCAGGCTGCATCACTCCATCTTATTTTGTGCTGCATTCTCACATCCTGCCACTTTTCCCTTGCAAAGTTAATGAGAAAAGCTATTGAAGATGAAGGGATTATTTCATGATTTCCTGCTGCTGAGAATAATGTCTTGTTACAAACGTGACGACAGTTACTCTTAGGTGCCATGGATTGATGTCAGGGTGGTCAGCTCTGGAAAACCACCCACCTTTAATTTGTACAACAGTATTGATACATAGGGCTACTCTCATTACTGTTCAAGTGTTCTATGTTAAAAGTTGTGTTTAATTTCTAAAGATTAAAAACAGCAAAAAAAATGGTGCTAAACTTTCACCCCTGAGCACGCTCAGTGAGACTGGTCATACAAGCATTTACAGTGCCATGCTCTTCAAGCCTATTTTTTCTTGTAGAAATGTTGCCCTGTTTGTCTTCCCCAATGTATAGTATGTTTTTTATTTTATTTTATTGAGGGTGGGATAGGATACCTGCCATTTAAGAAAATGAACAGGAAAATTAAAACCCATAAAATGGGGGGAAATAATCAGTGCACAAGAATTGGGCTGGTTGAGCCCGGCACCACACTGAAGTGGGCTCAGTGGTTTTGGAGTGAAGAAGCCTTACTCCCTGCACATTCCCTCATGCTCCCATATAAGTCCAGCAGTGGAGATGTTCATGGTCCTCTTGTCACGGGGACTCAGGAATCGACCAAGGAAAGTTATTTGCCTTGGTTGTGTAAGAAGTGGCACTGTTAGTGTCCATCCTAAATGGGTCTAGTCAGGAAGCAGTCAAATTGTATAGTCATGGTCACCTCGTGAAGATGTGTGGCGGGTGGCTCTCAGGAAAAATACTGTCTGGATCATGCGTGTGGCAGCTTTGCATAAGGAGATGACGGCTCCGAACTGGAACTGAACTTCCTTCCACGCACTTGACCAATGCAGTGATGAGGGTGGCCAGTAAATCTGTGAGTGGCAGGTTTAAAGAGAGGGAATGTTTTCTGGTTGGTGTTCTTTGTCTTTGGGCTGCTCAAGCTGAACAGTAGGTGACCACTGTTTTCAAGGGGCCAGCCCAATTTGGCTGGTTTGGTTCAGAGTTTGTTTCATCCCTAGCTGTGAGTGCCTTTTGGTCTGGAAAGTTGGCTTGTCTCATAATTACCACAGCTAGGACATTCTCTGTAATTATGAATTGTCCTTGTTTTACATTAACTAAAAGAGAATGTCTTTGATCACTAGAATTTGTTGGTGTTGGATTGTTTCCACTGTGAGGTTCTTAATCTTTTTCACTTCATAATATTAAAGCAACTCATGTTAGAGACCCTTTCAACATGAAAGGTTTGTAGTTGAGACATAACGTATATTTTATTGTTCATAATAAAAATCATCTATACAAAAGTCCCAAGTGTTAATTTTAATATTTGCACAAGATCTGTTTTCCATGATGTGTTAATACCTACAATTTCACTAACTGTTGGTGTTATTTTCTTTTGAGATTCTGGAGCCTAAGGAGCTTGTGTTTTTGTTTGTTCGTTTATTTTATTCTTCCCTGAAGCAAGAGACTTTGTATGGCCTTCAGTGCAAAGACTTCAGACCAATTCTTCATATATTACACTTGGTTGCCTCTTGGCTATATAACTTCTGAGTGCAAATCATTGAACTCTTTAACGAAGTATTGTAGAGAATAAATCATAATGGGTAAACAATGTTCTTTGTCCTGCCTTTTTTTTTTGGAATAGTGGTATCTGTCATCTTATTTTTGAAGACAGCCCACTGGACTCTTCATGTTTTGTGTGGTGTTCATGATCTCCAATAACCTTGCACTTGTATATTTGTAGTTGGTAGCAATGCCACTGGTTTTTAGAGCCAAGTTTCCTAAACCAGCTTCATGAACTCTTTAAAATTTGGACTTTTCTAGGAAGAAGGTTCATAGATCTCAGCTTTTCCAATGAAATTGGTCTTGCCCCAAAAGCTACAAACTAAAGAGAGAAGAAATGCTCAAATTTAAGATACTTGATGGCATTAATCCAACCAAACAAAGACTCTGGGACATTGGTGTGTTCTGACCTCAAAGAAAATGTTTATTGCTTTTGGGTGGCCCAGAAAGATGAGATGTGTTTGAAGAAAATGACAAGTAGTTTTTTAAACAAACATATTCTGGGATTGTCTTCAGTTTAAATTTTTATTCACAAGGATGTAATTTCTTAAGATACCAAGTTCTGAGGCCCTTACACTTGGCAGAACTCAAGCATATGGCCACAGATATACATGGCTTTCAGGGCTAGATGATAACTTTGGAAATTAACTATAAAAACTGGTTAAGCATACACTTCGGTGGTAATGGATGTGTAAGAGGAATTTTCTTAAAGAGAAATTAAGGTTCTAGAGTTTACTATCCCATGTTACCTGGTAATACCATCTGTTAGCATAGAATTCATACTACTGTTGGCAGGGGGTGGTAGTGGTGATACACTGTAACAAAATTTGCCATATTAACCATCCCTATATGAAATGTGAACTAAGCCATCAGGATAGAGATCAGTGATGCTAATTCCTGTGGGAGTGGGGGTGAAGAAGGTGCTGTAAAGCTGCTTCCAGATCAATCTGGATTGAATATCTGGCTTTGAAATACTATTCACTGAGCTGGTTGAAGGACTTGACTCTAAACCAATACTGTACAAAGAATCCACAGTAGCTTCCTGAAGAAAGTAAAGCAAGTCCTGTCTTTTCTGAGTCCTTATTCTAAAATGAAGCTCTGACAAGGATTCTAGGGTCTCCCTCTTCTTGTTGCTTGTTTGATCTATTTCTATGTAGATTCTGTATGCTACAGCAAACTGAAAAACAAGTGACCCTTCCAGTTTCAAAACTTAGCTATTGATGGTGGACAGGGGGAAAATGAGAGAGGTCTCAAGCTCACCAAGTCAGTCACTCAAGTTCCTGTTGCCAGTCAAACCCCAACACCCTACCCCCAGTATGGCCATTCTGGTCCTCAACCAAAGAAGTAACCCAGGGTGCTGACATTTGAACCTTCATAGGCTGGTAGTCTGATAGGCTTGAGCTTAAATCTTGGTCCTGCCACTTACGAGCCAGACAGGTAGTTATTACTCTGAGCTGAATTTCCTGCTTTGTGACAGGGCTGAATCTCCTAGGCAGCATGGTGAAAATGCTTTGCCCAGGCCCCAGCACATGTTGCAATGGCTGGATGGCTGTGACTATCTAGACTGTCATCAAGTGCTAGGTGTAGATGGGAACAACTGGGCCAGTGTGAACCCTCCAGAACCCTAAGCTACTCTGGGCACAGAAAAGAGATGGCATAATTGGTGTGCTCAGCCCCTCAAGTCAGGACAGGTTTCCTAAAAGAGGTGCGTGCTGAAGTAAGCTCAGCTTGATCTCAAGAAAGGAGGGCTTGTCAGAATCAGAGTAACATCACAGCACAATAGGGTGGATGAGCCCTCTCATGGCTCACTGCCTCATCACATTAGCATAGGCAGACAAGACTTAAAATCCAAGTCCAGGACTCCCAGGACAGCCTTCTGAAGGCTTTTGTACCCGAAGCTAAGGTTTGTTTGCAGAATCTCACACACACACACACACCCCCATATACCCCATTCCTTTGTATCTCTAGAGACTATTAATAGGAAAAGGGAGAAAGTTACATATTTATCCCTTTGGTTTTATAGCACTTACCAGCAGATTCTAGCAGGTGGTGCCAAAGACTTTTAATTTGAGAGAATAGCTTAAATTGGAGATTCTGTACATTAACTTTGAGTATGTGGAAAACTGGGAAACATGTCATCATTCTATTTTAGAGGCAAAACACCTGGGTCCAGGTAGAAAACATGAGTGATTCAGCCTACTAGGGATTCTTTGAGAAGCACTCAAAAAGGTTATAAAAGGTAGAAATTCTTTTGACTGAAAAATGATATAGCAACATTAATGAAAAATATAGCAAACGTTCTGTGTTTGTATAAGGTCTACGTAATTATTGTGACATTTAAGGAAGTTGAAATATGAATTTACCTTAAAGAGTGAATATTCTGCTTATGTACCCGACAATTTTGTTCATGTTACCCCTCTCCCATCTCTGACTACATATGAAGAAGCAGATTCCATGCTAGCCCCTGCGCCTCTGAACCTCTTGTGACTCACCACCAACCAGAAGTGACCTCTTTCTATATTTTTCTATAGCACTTTCTTTGGACTTTCTCTCATACCACTTGGCATTTCTGTCTTTTATTATGGAAAATAGGTCTAGATCTTGCATCAACTACTTTCGGTGAGCTCCCAGTGTGGACAGGTCAACGACTGACTCTTTTTAATCCCAGAGCATTACACATAAGTGTTCACATTGGTTTCCTGAATGAAAATGTTGTGGACAAACCAACTTGTGAAATATCACCGAATGTATTATTTGTTATTCTCCTTTCTTCTCTATTCACCTATTGTCTACTGCTGTGTGTGCAGGAGATACCAAGTGTTGGATATCCAGCTAGCCCTTAGGCCAGCACACGGTAAGGTCCAGTAAGTAGCAGGTGCTCTTTAAAGGCCTGTTAGATAGATAGATGGAAGAAAGAGGTCTACACTGAGTTCCAAGGCCATTTCCACACCCAGATTCCTTCCTCATTAGTACATCTGTCCATAGTTCTAATGAACTGTGTAGGAAAGTACTTTGAAACAGTAATAAACTCTGCCAGTACTATATAACATACTATTATTTTACCTGTGGACCAAACAGGGGCCGCATACTAAACCTGACAAGCTCAAGAGAGGCTGGCATGGTGGACCTTACAAACCCGAGAGACCAAAAGTAACCACACAGGATGGTCTAAACATAACACTTCCTAACTCAAAGCAGGTCATGGTGGGTAGTCACATCCTACGCCTGTAGCTTAACAAAGGTCAGTCTTTACTTTTGAAATTGTCCAGTCTTTGTGCATCTAAGATAACATATCTTTGAAATAGCAGAGTAATTTTCTTTTCCAGACCCCTCAAAGGCACTACCAAGGGCACTAGAGCACGAAACCACATTGTTACCACATGGTATGCCCATATACCATATATACTATAAATGTTCACTATCCCAAACCAAGTAATGTAAAAGAAGTATGCTTCTGTTTTGCTTGTTATTCAATCCCAGAGATTTCTCCACTTTGCTTTCCTCTCATTCTCTTAATCTACCACCAATGGATTTCATGTAACCCCTTATTTCTATTCTTTTGATTCTAATGTATTAAGTAAGCTGTAAAACTGCCATTCTCTGGAGCATTTTCTCAATTTGTTGAGATTCTCCTTTCTGGAAATTGTCTGACTCAAATAAACTTTTTTTAATATGAGCACCTGAACCCATTATACAGTACAATTCATACATGATATAAGGTGACAGCTGCTAGCAGATTACATTGGCATTCCTTTAGAGAAGATAATTGCTCAACAGAAGTCTATCTGAATCAATTAATCAATCCAAATCAATTAATTGAGCCACAGCTCAGCTATAATGCTGTGACATTCTGACACCAGGAAAAAGGAACTACTTGAGCATTCTGTGCCATATCTTTGCCCATGCAGTTTTACATTGCTGAGTTTATCAAGGTCATTAGGTTCTTGACAGTAATCTTATCCAACACCCTTGGCCTCCCGCAATGGATTTGAGAAAAGTTGGCTCTTTCACTCTCATTTTTGCCTGATAGAGTGGGTGTTAGTGGGTGTAGTGAAATTAAAAATACATGTATTTCTGTGATATGAAATTAATTGAATAAGGGTATAGTAATTCATGAAAAGTATAAAATCTACTGCTGTGATTATGACCTTGGGGAATTAGGATATATTAATTAGCTATGAAAGCTGCCTTAAGAGTCTCAGAAAAATGGGATTTGAAAATGTATATAGGAATAAAGAAATATTTTAGAGATGATGGTAGGGAATTACAGTAAAGGACGTAGACCTGAGTCTTCATAAATCATATGTGTCTAACCATTGAGCTGTACACCTGAAACTAATATAAAATTTAAAAAATAAATAAAAAGACACTGGATCTGAAAATAACATAAAAGAGAAGAAAAATCCATTGAACTAGAAATCAAATAAATTCATAAGACTTTTTCTTAGGTTGGATGTTTTTTCACCAGCATACTCAATACATTTCCTCTGGAAATACACAAAGCAAAATAATTTTGTAAAAATTATATTTATAAAACAAAGGAATACAAGGTACATATTCTTGTCTGGTAATATCTTAACTCATTTTTTAATGTGATACCAAAACATTGTCCCCTACTGAGCCAAGTAGTACACTATGATTTACTTTATAACCATCTGCTTTCCCTGAAATTGAAAATAGCATCAGTTTTTCTTTTTAGGCGAGGTAACCCTTGGTTGGCCTCACAGATTGCAAGGACCCTGTCAGTTTATAATCCCTTATTTTTTATTTTTTACACCTACAGGACCTGGTCTTCCTAGGTGGTCCCCCATCCAAGTACTAACCAGGCCCGACCCTGCTTAGCTTCCGAGATCAAACGGATCGGGCTTGTTCAGGGTGGCGTGGCCTTAGATGTATCAGCTTTTCATTTGCTTACTTTTCTATGTATCATCCAAATGTTCCAACAGATGTGTTAAAGGCCTCCAATATCACTGTCCACGTGCTCAGTAGGTTCAGAATAATACACTACAAATCAATCAAAGTTTTTAAATGCTTAAGGCATTGGAAGAAATTCCACAGTGTTTTCGGAGTTACCTACCCATCAAGGGGAGTTCCCTGGTTTCTGTATCTCACCTGGTTCTTTCCTCCACCCTAGGATCAGGTGTCCTTATCCACAGTTCACAGGTGAGAAGGCTGAGGCTCAGAAAAGCCAAGTTACTGGCCCCAGGATTCGTGGCAAAGGGAGTAGTGGGGAAGAGCACGATTTCTCCCTAGCTGGTCGCAGCCTTCTCAGCCCGCTACAACGCTAGGCCCCGCCTACCCCGACGCTAGGCCCTTTCCCGAGAAGCATGCCGCGGCCCTGCGCTTCCGCTTCCGGTGTTCTGGATGGCCGTGCGGCTCCCTGCGATGGCGGCAGGCGGTAGCGACCTGCGGGCTGGCGACGTAGAGGAGGATGCCTCACAGCTCATCTTTCCCAAAGGTGGGGTCTGGGGCTGCCAGACGGTGCCGCCATTTTGCGTAGTCACCACAGGCCCGGCGTCGCACCGCGCCTCGTTTAAGGCCCGGCCGGCCCTCGGCGCCGCGGGAACCAGGGAGGAGGGCCTGCAGACCTGGGAGGGTCCGGGCCGCTCCAGCTCCGTGCACGGAAAAGGGTGCTTGGCGCCCTCGCCGCACTGCCCTTGCGCGGCGCCGTCTCCCTGCTTCAGTAGTTTATTTTCTCTGAGAGACTGCGAAGTGCTGGAGAGATGGGTCAGAGATAAGCAAAGCGGCCACTAACGTGGTCAGTAAAATACTGATATAATAGAGAAAAGCGTCTAGCGTGGACTGAACTCAGCTTCCATTTGTGTAGAAGTGGCTGGGCGTTTTAAAGGAATAAGGAGGGGTGGTGAGCGGGCCTTAGAAGGATGTGAACAATTACAAAAAGTGGTAATGTGGGTGGGTCCATTTGAAACCCATTTGGGTGTATCGCCTGTAGCTTATGGAAGTTAGGTTCCTAACCTCCCTCAACCCGCCCTCTGTTGACTGGAACGAACAGTAAAATGTTTTGGCAGCTTTCAGTTTTCACAGGCAGGCGCTTTGAAAGAGCTAGGGTCATCCTAGGATTGCAGTCTTAAGCTGTTAGAAATCATGTTGGTGTTTTATTCAAGCTTTTATGGGCCAAAGTTGAGGCCTAGTCGAGAAGGGAGCTCAGAGGAGCCTGGCTGGAGTTTGCTTAAGGAGAGAATCTTTGTCAGATGGCCTCAACTAAAGCACATTTTCTGTCAGGGAACTTCCTCTGTGCAGTGTGATGTCCTTTATTTGTAATTTATAAACTCAAAATAAGCAGAAAGTTTAAGATCTTAAAATACCGTATCTTAGAGGTACTGAAAAACAAAGTAAATGGAAACCTTAACGATACCCTCCTGATTTAAAAATTATATCCACAATAAAGAGTGAAACTTCACACCCTTGCATCCAGTGGAAACTACTGTAAACAGTTTAATGCCTATCCTTCCAAACTAATTTTCTGCTTATTCATATATATATACATATACACATATACTTTTTCTTTGCAAAAATGGAATTATGCTATAGAAATCACACAGCTTTTAAAAATTCTGATGCTATATTGTATAGAAATGTGCTATTTTAAAGGACTAGATAGTACTTAATGGTCCTACCATAATATAGTTTATATATTGATAGACATACAGGTTGCTTCCAGTTTTTTATTTCCTAGACTCAAATGCAAATATTTCACTGGATAACTTCACAGAAGTTTTTGGCATAATGGAAATATACATTTGTTTCTTTTTTAAGGTGTAATAACTAAGAAGGAGATGGTTTTTTTAATTTTATGATAAATTGAGTTCGTTTTTTGTATTTGGGTTTTGTCTAGGTACTACTTTTTATTTAGTTTTTTTTTTTTTTTACACTCCAAAAATACTTGTTTTGATAAAATCAGGCAACATCTGGTCTACATGAAAATTTGAGTCAGGTATAAGTAGATCTTAGATCCTATCAACTGATAGTGTGTCAGAGTTCTGAACATCTGTTATCTTTAACTTCTCAGCTAATGTAGGCATATAAAGTGTTATGTATTTTAGAATATATGTAGATCTATAGAAACAACAGTAAGTGCTTAAAAGATATGAAAAGCGTTCTCTGTAGAATGGAAAGTAAACAAACATAATACTAATTGCAGGACTGAAAGAATGGAGACCACTGAAAGCTTTTGAGTACTTTTAGTGGTAATTTTCACAAGCATATTTGCTCACGTTGTCTTCATCTTGTGTTATAATTAATAGCAACTCTTGAAGAAATTAGTTACCTTTCTTTTCTAAAAAGGATTATATAATCCCAGTCACTCCCTTCCTCAACTAAAGAAATCCCCTAAATCATTTTGTACTAGAGAGAATAATGTACAGTATAAGAAAAGTACCTGAAATTGTCACTCATCATAAAACACCTACTAGTGGTTGCAGTTAAGAATCCTCAAGGAAATTCCTTGATAAAGTACTGGTCAAGGAATTGTTTTCCTTCTTACAGGAACAGGGATTAGTAAATTGTGGCAGTTGCTCTTAAAATACTTGCACAGAGGGAGAATAACCTGTAGATTCCCTAATCTATTTCCTTTTATTTTCTAAATAAATTATATGTGTGTGTGTGTGTGAGAGAGAGAGAGAGAGAGATTACACTTAAAAAAGGTTGTGGTTAGCCATGAGGAGAGTTCTTGGGTCCCTCTTCTCCATAGTTAAAAAAAAAAAAAAAAAAAAGTGTTTGAAGTACCTCTTCCCTCCCCATCGATTGATTCTAAATCCTGGAAGTGCCTCCCCAGAGCTCTGTGATAGGTTGCAGGCACCACTCTCCTAGGTCCTCCAAGTCACAGTTTGGCTGCCCTGACTGTTCATTGGTTGAAAAGAGTGAGGGTGATGTGTAAATAGTACTTGGGCATTGCCCTCATTGGGGAATAGAGATGAGTGACTAGTCTCCTGGTGTCCTGAGTTCCATCTTATTATATTTCACAGGTAAATTTGTTTAGTACAGAATGGGAGGCATCTCTAACTTTTGGCAATTTTCTGGAAGCCTTAAAATCAACAAACTTGGAGGTGAACGTTATTAGTAACTCTTGTTTAGCCTCTTAATTTCCATTTTCTAAGGCTATATTAATGATGCAGCCTCAGAAGCTGAGACTGACCCACTGTTTAGCTGTTGATGCCTCCCCTGCCCCTATGTCACTTGTTGCTCTCACTTGATATTTGGGGTTATATGTCCTGATATTTAATGCTTTCTCCACTCTTTGCTCTGAGGCAGTAGTTTCTTTACCTGTACACTACTTTAGAGGTTTGGTTGGAATTAACTCTGAGGTTCATCTTGTTCAAACTGTGCTGACCTCAGGTAGAAAATAACTTTTGGTTGCCTGTTATATTCAGTAACAGTGAGAACCTTTCAAATAAAAAGTTTCTTCCTACACACTCCCTACACACTCGCTACACACACACACACACACACACACACACACACACACACACACTGTTGTAAAAGGAGAGTGAAGCTCTCGCCACCTGGCCTGAGAAATACAAGGCATTTCTCTGATGGAAGTGTCTGTGATTTCCCCAATAGTAAACACAAACATAAATGCCAAATTGCAAGTAATTTTGTTTTTTTCTCACTATTGCCTCTCTTCATCAATGTGGAATTAAACATGAATTCATGTTTATGAATGGTTTCTGCTCTGAGGGAACTCACTGATAAGGGAAAGGCAGATTAAAACCAACTCTAATACTTAGTATAAAGTATTAGGAACATAGACTCCTATAGGACTATGAAGGAGATATTGATTTTCCCAAGGAGATAATGGCATTTTTAACAATGTTATCCTAAAAGTATAGGGAAAGGCTGCCATATATTATGGAAAAGAGCCAAGGGTTTCTTTTTCTCTTTTAAACTTACTTTTTAAAAGTTGCTTATAAGTATTCTTTCTAGTCAAGAGGATTATTTTAAATGTATCAAGGGCAAGAGATTTGCATCATGGTAAATATTTGAATTAGGTTTAATCGATAAACTACCTTCGACTGTGAAATCTAGAGGGTAGGGGCTTCTAGATGCAAACCCAGTTCCTAGTACATAATAGGCAGTGACCTGGTGAATGAGTAAATAATAGATTTGTGCAGGTACAAAAATAGAACTTGGGGTACATTATTACTATGTGTTTCCAAACACTTGGCCCTCTCCAATATTAATAATTGTTAAAATTGAGAGTATATTCACAAATAATATATCCGATAGGGGGTTGATATGCAAAATATATAAGGAAAACATATAACTCAATAACAAGACAATAAACAAGCCTATCAAAAAATGAGTGGAAGACATGAAAAGACATTTCTCCAAAGAAGGTACACACAGATGACCAACAGACATGAAAAGATGATCAACATCACTAATCAGGGAAATGCAAATCAAAATTACAATGAGTTATCACCTCACACCTATCAGAATGGCTATTATCAGTCAACAAATAACAGTTGTTGGCAAGGATGTTGAGAAAAGGAAACCCTTGTGCACTGTTGGTTGGAATGCAAATTGGTGCAGCCACGATGGAAAATAGTATGGAGGTTCCTCAAAAAACTAAAACGATCTACCATACGACTCAGCAATTCCAATTCTGGGTATTTATCTGAAGAAAGCAAAAACATTAATTCGAAAAGACATGTGCACCCCTGTGTTCACTACAGCGCAATTTACAATAGCAAAGATCTGGAAGCAACCTAGGTGTCTATCAATAAATGAATAAAGAAGATGTGGTGTGTGTGTATATGTGTATACACACAAGGGAATATTATGCAGCAATAAAGTGAAATCTTGCCATTTGCAATAACGTGGATAGATCTAGAGGGCATTATGCTACGTGAAATAAAGACAAATACCATTTGATTTCACTTATGTGTGGAATCTAATAAACAAATGAACAAACAAAAACAGACTCAGAAACAAAGACCAAAGAGATGGTTGCCAGAGGGAAGAGGGATGGGGGGTTAAGTGAAAAGGATGAAGGGGAGTATAGTCAATATTACAGTAAGTTTGCACAGTGACCGATGACTATTAGAATTAGTGGATGATCACATTGTATAAAAATGTTGAATTCCTATATTGTATACCTGAAACTAATATAACTAATATTGTATACCAACTAGAAGTTTTTAAAAAGTCAAAAGAAATTGAGAGTATAGTATTAGTATTATGGAAGTAAAAGATTATTAGCTTATATGAGCGAGGGAAAAATAATTGTTTGTTATGTTCCATTTTGAAATGGAACATAATTAGGATAATGATGTGTCATTATTTAATAGCATGTCTACGTCAGGTTCTTTGATGTCAGAAACTCTAGCCCAAATGAACTAAATTTTAGAATCTCAAGAACTCTACTGTGACTTGTGATACACAAGTCTGGGTGAAGGTAAAGTGGGATATGAAGCCCCTGGATTTCTTCAGGGACAGAGACTTGCTGTTAGTCTCAAAGGCAAAAATCAACATTTAGCAGTTGACTTATGAAGGAATATTTTCATCTGACATTTATGCTTCTCATAAATAGAGTTTGAAACAGCTGAGACACTTCTAAATTCAGAAGTTCATATGCTTCTGGAGCATCGAAAGCAGCAGAATGAAAGTGCAGAGGATGAACAGGAACTTTCTGAGGTCTTCATGAAAACTTTAAACTACACAGCCCGTTTCAGTCGTTTCAAAAACAGAGAGACCATTGCAAGTGTGCGTAGGTGAGTGCTAAAAGAAAGTTTTTATTTATTCATATTATTGGACATCTTTGGGCAGAATGTTGTTTCCTCCCTGTCCCCCATATCTTCTATAGGATTATTGTATGTACAATAATTTTTTGGGTCAAAAATCTAAAAATTTAAAAGGCCAATTTTCTTTCTAGTTGCCTTCTCTCATACCCCAAAACCCAGTTAGCTCCTTGCAAAGTAACTACTCTTAGCAGTTTATTGTTATCCCTTCACATCTTTTCTACTCATTCATTCACAAATATATTCATCCCTATAAAAAACACATAGCATTGTTTTGTAGATTTTTTAAAAATAAAGTGGGCTTATTTATTAATTATTCACCTGAAATGCCTTAGAGATCTTTATAAGTTAATAAATACATTTCAAAGGAGACTGGGCAAAATGAAGTAGATGATAAAAGCTTCATTCTTCCAACCAAATGAAAGTTGAGATGGAAACACGGAGCAAACAGCAAGCAGGGTTGCCTTGGATCTAGATGAACAGAAGCCCTACAGCTAGGGAGAGAAATAAGAAATCACCCTGCAACAATTGGAGGTAGGAGCGGGTAAAGATGCGAGGCTACAGGTTCCCGAGCAGCTGAATAGGACAGAGGCTATGGCAGCTACAGACTCTAGTTAAAGGGGCCTTGTCTGCAACCAAACTTTCCTGGTGACTGACTTGCTCTCTCTGAGTACCAGCACTGGGTTGGCTGCTTGGGCGACACCAAGGACTTACAGGGGGATGCTGAGTTGTCAGAGTGAGGGGCAGAGGCAAGACTTTCTCCCAGGTGGTATCCATTGTTCCCTGTTGAGCCCTCCCCGCTCCCAGTGTGCGAATGCAGCACCACCATTGCAGAGATGTCGTCAAACTGGATGACAGAAGTTGCTCTATCCAGAAGATTCCCTGAAACTCCACCTCTTCCAACTTGTGGTCCTACCCAATTCACATCCACTTGTTCCTTGGTGAGTCCTGTACCACTTGCTGAGCACCTCTAAGACTCATGCTGGTGGCAGCTGACCTCGGTTTCTGGCGTGGCTTCTTGAGGCAACTGTAAGCACAGTATCTGTGGATTGCATGCTGAATCTAACAGGTGGTCCCAGAGCGGCACAGCCTGGGGCTAAACTTGGCCTGCAGAAGAACCCCTCTCAAGATGGTGCTGTTGGACACTTAATACACAAAGCCATGCTAATAAGACCAGGAGACTTAAGAACTTTGCTGAGCTCATAGAAACAAGCACAGAAAGGCAGCCAAAATGGGAAGACAGAGAAGTAGAGACCATATAAAAGAACAGAACATAATAACATAGATCAAGGAAAAATAGAGTCATGAATCTCACAGATGCAGAGTTTAAAACACTGGTTATAAAGATGCTCAATGAAATTATGAGAAGTGTAGATGAACTCAGAACTTTAAAAAAGAGATTGAAAACATAAAAATGGAAATGGAAATTATAAAAGAGAACCAGTCAGAAATGAAGAATACATTATCAGAGATGAAGAGTATATTAGAAGGAGTCAACAGAATGGATGAAGAAGAGAATCAACCACCAATACAGAGGATGGGGAAATCAAGGACACCCAATCAGAATGTCAAGAAAAAAGAAGCCAAGACTATAATAATAATTTAAGGAGCCTATGGGACAAAATTAAGTGTAACAACATCTGTGTCATAGGAGTACCTGAAGAGGGAGAACAAGAAGTTGAAAATACATTTAAAGAAATAATGATGGAAAACTTCCCTAACCTGGTGAAGGAAATAGACATACAACCCCAGGAAGTTCAGAGAGTCCCTCAAAAAATGAACCGAAAGAGGCCCACACCAAGACATATAATTAAAATGCCAAAGGTTAAATACAAAGAGAGAACCTTAAAAGCAGCAACAGAAAAGCAGTTACCTACAAAGGAGCATCCATAAGACTGCCAGCTAATTTCTCAAAAGAAAGTTTGCAGGACAGAAGTGCTTTGTCACAAAATATTCAAAGTGTTGAAAACTCGGGATCTACAACCAAGAATACTTTTTCCAGCAAACCTATCATTTAGAGTTAAAGAACAGATAAAGAGCTTCCCAGACAAAAATAAGCTCAATAACAACAACAAAAAACCCATCCAATAAAAAAAAATGATCAGAGAACCTGAATAGACACTTCTCCCAAGAACACATACAAATAGCCAACAAACATGAAAAGATGCTCAACATCTGAAAACCACTTTGAGATACCATCTCACACCTGTTAGAATAGCTATAATGAACAGGTCAAGTAATAAATGTTGGAGAGGATGCAGAGAAAAAGGAACCCTCATACACTGCTGGTATGCAAATTGGCACAGCCATTATGGAAAACAATATGGAAGTTCCTCAAAAAATTAAGAATTGATGGACCATATGATCCAGCAATCCCTCTACTGGGTATTTACCCAAAGGACTTAAACTCATATCCTAAAAGATATTTGCACACCGATGTTCATAGCATTATTCACAGTGGCCAGGACATGGAACAACCGAAGTGTCCTACAATAGATGATTGGATAAAGAAGCAGTGATACATATATACAATGGAATATTACTCAGCCATAAGAAGAGATGAAATACTGCCATTTGTGACAACATGGATGGACCTTGAGATAATCATGCTAAGTGAAATAAGTCTGACAGAAAAAGTTGAAAATCACATGATATCACTTCTATGTGGAATATAAACCCATATGTAAACAAACATGACAAACAAACAGAGACTCATGGACATGGATAATAGACTAGTGGTTACCAGAAGGTAGTGGGGGAGGGATGAGGAGGGAGGTAGATGGGGTAAAAGGAGTCAAATAAGTGGTGCCAGAAAGAAATCTAACTATGGGAGGTGAATGCAAAATGCAATATATATAAGCCTTACTGTTAAGTTATATACCTGAAACGTATGGGATTTCGTTAACCAATGTCACCATTAAAAATAAGTGAATGGAGTTTTTCGGAAAACATGGCAGAGTGAGAGATGTCCTCAGATCTCTCCCCTTGAAACAACAATAAGTTGAACATCTAAAACTGAACAAAAAACACCCAAACTGCACACCAGCACGTCTGAGCGTGGGATCTGTGCATAAAAACTACCAAAGGTCAGAACCCCAGGTGTCGGGGGTAGACTGAGAGAAATAAAGAAGCTGCCTCCCACAGCTGCCAGAGCTCCCTGCAGGAGGAGGGGCTGGGGAAGAGGTGTGGAGACTTCCCTGAACAACCCTGCCTGGAAGTGCTGGGACTTCTTCGCAGACGGCAGCAGAGTCCAGTCATCAGGGCAGAAAGCAGAGAAACGGGACGGAGCTGCAGAGAAACAACAGTTGATTTTTATCGGCCACAGTTGCAAAACTGAGGTAGAGCCACAGCCCCCAGCTCCCAACCCAGAGGGCCCCTCCCCCCATTCCCTCCAAGACTAATCACCGCAGAGCCCCAGGGGAATCTAAGCAAATGCTACCAAAACCGATTGCTAACACTGACAGGAACTGAAACTGAGAGTAGCTAGTATGATTAAATTTCTAAAAGAAAATAAAAGAAAAAAAATTATTTAGGCTTTATATAAAGCAAGGATCCAAGAAGTTTAGACGCCACCTACTGGAAACAAGAAAAGCGCCTTCTTTGTAGCAGGCTAAAGAGAGACCTTTATGTAATATCTTTCTGGAAAAACAGCAGAATACACTTCCATTGATGCCCAGATGGAGATAGTCCATTAAACACCATGAACAACCAAGGTGACAAGGCATCTGAGAAAGAGAGAGAAAAATCTCCAGAAAATAGGCTTACAGACATAGCAATATGCAACTTAAATGACAAAGAATTCAGGATAGTACTTCTGAAAAAACTCAATGAGATCCTATGTGAGTCATATCAACAATTTCAGGAATTGAAAAAGCTAGATGAGCAGAGCAAATAGATTGAAACCCTCAAGAATGGATCTTCAGGTGATAACACACTGCAAGAGCTGAAAAATGAAATAGCAAGCTTGGGAAATACAGTAGACCAAATGAAGGAAAAGATCAGTGATATCGAAGACAGAAATCTAGAAATGCATCAGAAGGAAGAAGAGAGAAACTGAAGAATGAAAAATAATGAAAGAGAAATACAAGAACTAGCTGATACCATCAGGAGAGGAAACATAAGAATAATAGGCATTATCAAAGGTGAGTGAAAGGAGCAGGGACTAGAAGCATTTTCAGACAAATAGTGGACAAGAATTTCCTAAATCTAAGGAATGAGCTGGAGCTTGGAATTCAAGAAGCAAAAAGAACACCCAATGATCTCAACCCAAAAGGCCTTTACTAAGACACATTGTATTAAAGTTATCAAAAATCAGTGACAAAGATAGAATTCTCAAGGCAGCCAGGGAGAAGAAAACAGTAACTTATAAAGGAAAACCCATTAGATTATCATTGGACTTCTCAGCGCAAAACTTACAAGTCAGAAAGGAATGGAATCAAATATTTAAACTATTAAGTGAAAGAAACTACCAGCCTAGAATAATTTATCCAGTTAAGCTCCCCTTTAGATACAAAAGAGAAATAAAGACGGTTACAGACATGCAAAAATTGAGGGAATTCTCCACTAAAGACTTGCACTACAGGAAATACTGAAGCTGACGGTCAGCTCACCTAAAACCAAATAACAACAACAAAAAAATACACGATTAGGAGTAAAGTGACTATCCAGGAAATAGAAGCAGAGGAGTGCAATCTTTACTAAGAATAGGGCATTACAAGCTTAAATAATAAGAGATCTGCTATAGCAATACTAATGAACATTCAGCATACATAGGGACAAATTGAAACAACAATGACTGAAAAGGGGAGGATTCAAAGATCCAAATTCGCAAAGGGGAATGGAGATAAGTCACGCGCAGAAGAAAATGTACGACTATATACGTATATATAACTATCCTTTTCATATTCATAATGATAACCACATACCAAAGATTCAGAGCTGAAGTATATAACATAAAATGAGAACTAGAGGCA